GCGGGGGTAGCCCGCAGCGCCCCGGGCGGGTTTGCTCACCCACGGCCCGTGGGAACGGAGATAAAACCGTGCCCTTACGTAATGCCGGGCATTGCGACACGGGGGCCTCGCTGGGGAGGCGCGGGTAGCGGGACAGCGAGCGCGGCGGCCCCGGCGCCGCATCCCGGGATGCCGCGGAGGCCGAGCCCAGAGAGCCGGGAGCCGGCCCCGTGACGGCAGCGGAAAGGTCACTGGGCCACGGCGGGCGAGCGGCTCCTGACGAGCGCTCCAGCAAGCGGCATCTCTCTGCTCCGGCTCGGGAAGCAAAGGTCGAAGGTGGCTGTTCCTGCACGGGTTTAGCACCGTCTTGGCTCTGACATCCCTTTCACCTCGCTCCTCCGCACCCCCGGGATCCTTCTGGCGGGTTGGCAAATTCATTCTGATAGTTACCAAAACCCCAAGCCTCAAGCCAAGCCGCCAAACTGATTTCTTCTTCCATTTTATTCTGCTTATTCTCAGAATGTAGCTTTTTACTTGTGGGGGATAATGTCAATTAAAAAAATCCCCGTGTCTCTGTTTTCCCCTCCTGTACCTAGCACTGTGGGGCCACAGCAGGAGCTGCCTCCATTCTGCCTTGTCACAGCCCTTGCTGGAAACAGCTCCTGCTGGAGGGGTTAAAGTCTTTGAGTCATTCAGTCTTTAGGTATCTGCAAAAAAAAAAAAAAAAAAAAAACCAAAACCAACAAACACACACACAAAAAAAAACGTAACGAAAATTTCAGAAAATGGAGTGGAGCTGACTCATCATCAGTGACCAATGCAGGGTTGTGTCTCTGGGGAATATTTATAGTGATTCCAGCAGAAACAGATCCCAGCTTGTTTCTCTGATGGCTTAGTGAGAATAGAGGTGTGTTCCAATTTGTTTTGTTGGGTGCAGTGGATGGTTGAATAATCACCTTTCTCATGGCATTCCACCTATGAATTTTTGTCAGAAATGGGCTTTTGCACTATTGCAATGACATTCCAGATTAATACCTCCCCCCAGCACTCTCCATCGAAGGTTTGCACTGATCCACCTTTTGTTCCTGCCCACATTTGGGGGTGTGAAGGTGTGGGGAGCATCACTGTTGGCTGCTGTAGCAGCAGGGGGATGTCCTCAGCCCTGGCACTGTTGGGACACACAGCTCAGGCCCTTGTGGGCTTGGAATCTGCTGCAGGTAGGGAAAAACACATCCACCGATGTAGCAGATGCTCCTCTTCTGTGTCAGCTATCACATTGTGCTGGAAGACAAAATTCCACTTTAATTACTCATTCCCGTTAATCTGGTGCTGGGTGTTCCTGCAGTGGGGCTGGGAACGAGGGACAGGTCCCTTCCTGAGTGCGCTGCTGAGGCGTGTGCTGGCCTGGGCCCTGCCAGGCTGGTGGCACCCAGTGGGACAGCAGCGCTGCTCTTCTCCTCCTCCACAGGTATTTAACAGAAACAGTTTAATTTAACATGTAGGGACTGTGGCTCTGTGTTCTTCCCTTGCAGTTTAGAACTAGCTACAGTTTAGTAGCTACAGCAAGCTGTGACATCCCCCAGGTTCACTTAATTGATACTTTTATGTGATAGTTTAATAAGGGGTTGCCATGCAACACTGCAGTTCTTTATGTATACCCATACAATTGAGGAAAAGGCTGTCTCTTTCTTTAATTCCGTAATTAGTATAGCCTAAATAATAATATTTACATTTGCTTTTACGGGGTTTATTTCCTTTATGCTCATCTGTTTATTGGGCTACAGAGGTACTGCCTAAACTCTTTAAATCTGCTCCATCATGCATGTAGTTTCAGAGCAAAACTCCAGCAGGAAGGCTGGGATCCTTCAAGTATCACAGGGACGCTGCACAGCCATATAATGCCTGCAACAAAAGAAATTGTGGACTCCCAATCTTAAATTTTGAGTCATAATGGTGCATGGATTATATGATACTGACACAGTAGCAAGTTGGGACAAAAAGTGTTGTTAAGTATCGTGTCTAAAAATGCTGAGTATTTATAAACCATATGCTTTTACTGGCTTCTCAAAAGCCTAGGGAATGTGCCCAACCTGATGTTTCACTTCTGTGTGACTGTATATGTATTTATGGGTAAATGTGTTCTTAAGTCTCTGTACAATCTGCCGAACCTGATCTGAAGCAGACTGTGGACATGACTTGAAGGGATTTGGGATTGGGACCATAAAACCCAAAGTGTGGAGCCAGCACTGAGCTCCCCGGGGAGCCTGGGATGTTGTACAGGGATGCTGGTGCCTCCAGCCAGCCATGGGATGTGGAGGGAGCTGGGCCCTGCTCTGTCTGAGAGTAAAACCCCATCCTTTGTGGTGTATTGACACAACAAAAATTGGCTGTGAAATGACACTGCCCAGGCTGGAGGTGCAGAAAGGCACCTAAAAACTGCTTAATTGCAAGGAATAATTTTTCCTTTAATGAGGAAGATAAATGCCAAGTAAATTAGTATTCTTTTTAACCTTGAGGCAAAAGACCCTCATGTGGGTTTTTCCCCATGCAGACACACTGTACCTCATTGCATAACCCCATGCTGTCTGTCCCTCCCAGCTGTTCCCAGCAGCTGGAATGTGTCCACCCTGCAAGTAGCATCTTTTCATGCTTGTGGAGACAGGGAGCTAGAATATACAGAACTACTGGTACTATCAAGAAATGTTACATGAGTTCAGATTTATTGGGAAAAAATGTGGCTACATAAGGATAAATCCAACCTTTTTACTTTCTTAGCCTTGAATCTGACTTCCATTGTCTTTATGGGAATTTTATTCTTGTAATGGGTTTGATTCTTAACTTAACTTTTTAGATTGTTCCTTTCCTCATGTAAATATCATAAACCTGATAAATATGTGCAGGGAAGGTTTAATCTAGGCATGTATGACAGTTAGCAAGCAGTGATGAGTTCTCCTTTGGTTGCAGCCAACTCGTGTATTTGCCAGGGCATCCTGTGGGTTTGCTACTTTTTGGACTGAATTTGATTTAATTGTTCAAAACTGTATCACAGAGTGAAAACTTTGCCATCTCTGACCCTGGAAAATATTCAAATTTGGCCTGCTGTGATGAAGTCTTCACTGAAGCTGCCTTTTGGGTCCTGCAGCTCCAAAGGGAACTCTGATTTTTTTCCCTGTGGCAGTTGTAAATCAGGCATTCCTGGAGGTATGCTCACAGCAGCACTTGGTGCTTACTCCTCCTCAGTTCTGGTTTTCTTCAGTCATCACTTGTGCAATGGTGTTTCTTACTCCAGAAAATCAAAATATTTTCCCATGTAGAACACGTTACAGATGCTCTACTTGGCCTGCTATGTGGGGGCGTTGAGGTCCATAGTCACGCTGAGCTATTTGCACTGTTGGACAAGGATAAAAGCAATGAATTCATTTCAGTCCAAACCTAATCTGAGTTAATGTGCAGGGATCCCGCTGGTGAAAAGCAAGGGCACTTGGCCATGGCCATTCCTTGATCCTTTAAGAGTTTGAATCCCTGCTAAGCATGCTTGTCTTACAACCTGTACTCTCATAGGATGTAATCAGTTTTGTTTTCCATCTGTTAAACAAGAGGCTTCTTATTAGCCAGTGCAAACAGAAATAATTATTTTTGTTTTGTTCTTGCTGACAACAGCAAGGTTAACCAGCAAGTACACAGCTCCTAGCGTTTTCCACACTCAGCAATTTTAAACACCTTGCTCTGTGTGTGATATATGGTTTGCCTTACAACCAGCAGGGATTTGGCTTTCAGTACTGTCCCCTAATTATAGTAATTGTCTAAGTGGAGCTCTCATGTCTCCCAGTGTTCTGGGCACAGACTGCAGCAGTGGAGCAGCCTGGCACAGCTCGTGCACCTGACAAACCTGGCCACATCCAGGGGATACACAGTTTTGTTAGGGAACAAAACTTGGCTTTGTGGGTTTGGAGGAGGGAAAAACATGACTGAGAAAATCTAACCCAAAAGCATACAGCATTTGTTTATGAAGAAAATATTTTGATTTTATGAAGTGACTCAAAGGGACTGTTGATAAAATAGATCTGATAGATTCCGAGATGCAGCTGGCAGAGCGGTGCATTATCTTTCAAAGCAATCCTTATTTGCTTTTTCAAGTATAGAGATTTGCAATATTTTTAATTTTTGATGATGCTAAATGGCAATATCCATCAGAGGGTTCTCATGGGGCTGGGCTGCTCTTGCAAGGCAGAAGCATTTGCTGTACACGGACAGCTCTTAGTGACTCCTGCCATCCCTCTCCTGAGTGGTACCTGACTTTAGGGGGTGATTTCCAAGCAGGGCATTGTATCTGCTTCCACTGACTTCAATGAGGAGCAGAGGAATTACTCACATGAATATGGTAATACTTTCTTAGGGTTTTTTTCTGCTTATGTTTTTTGGTTTGGTTTTTTTTTTCCCCTTTTTCTCCCTGTTTTGTTCCCTCTAGGATAGGGATTCTTCCTTTATGCAATAGCAATATCCTGCTTTAACAGGCACCAGCTTGTTGTCTGGAGTGCTTGAGGTGCTGAGTGACTGCTGAAAGTCCCTATCTGATCTTGATGGGGTGGTGAGCTTGTCTGAGAACTGCATCCCAGTCTGCAGCCAGAGATATTAAAGCACCCTCGTGTTCAGAGCTAGTGAGTTTGTGTGGGATTTAAAGGTGTAGTTTCTGCTAACATTGAATAATCTGGAGTGAGAATGTCTGGAAGTTTTTTAAGCATTTGCATGCATATGTAGTAAACTGCTAATTACTTTTGAATAGCCAAAACATTTGTGAATGTGGAATTTAGTGGAACATCTTATATTGATAGCTTTATAAGTACAATTTATCTCCTTTGCTGTGTAGAATTTGGAAATCTTGTCTACAAAGACAGAAGATGTGCACCATTTCAGATAGCTTAATTTTGTTTCCCCTAAAGAAATTACTTTATTTGAATAAGGGAGTAGAAATTATTGTACTTGAATAAGAAAGGAGATTTGCTTGGTTTGTTCCCCTCAGGATCCTATTTTCTCCTCCATGTATGGTGAGACAGTTTTCCCAGTGGCTGAGAAAATAGGATGTATTTATCTCTTTTGCAGGAGGCCGCTGAACTAAGAATGTCAGGGCCTGCTGAGGATGGGAAAGTGAGGAGCTCCATGGCAGTGTGGGAACCCCTGAGAAACGAAACACAGTGGAGAAAGCTGCCCCTGCAGTGTCCCCACCACTGGGCTGTGCCTTTGCAGGGAGCTCCAGTCTGTATTTTGCTGCTGAAGCAGGGTTGTGGGCCCTTCTGATGGCCTGACTTCACAAGGTGGCCTCCCTGCAGCCTGAATTTTTCTCAGCAAGCTCATTTTTTATCAGGTGCACAGAAAAAAACCTTGAAAGTCAATGTCTAAGGAGGCACCTTAACCCATTAATAGAGATAGCAAAGTCAAAGAAAACGGAAGTATAAGAATGACCACTTATTCATTTTGCTGACATGAATGTTATCCATTTGCTGTTCTGAATTAGGGGAAGAGAGATGTTCCTTATGGTAGATGCTTGTTCTGTTTACATTTCCTTAGTGAATGAGTTGGGGCCCTAATGCTTTACATCAGAATGCAGAGATCAATGTGAGAAACAGGAATCTTTTCCTGAAAAAAACGTCAGTTCATTCATGCAGTTACACTGATAAGAAAACAACAGTTAACTCTTTGGAAAGGCATAGAAGGTTCCTTTTCTTTTAATATCTACTTGCTCTGCAGCCTGTTTCACATCCTCAGTGGCAACTGCATGGTCATTGCTGCTGCTGGCTCCTGAGCAAGATGAAATCACACTGTTTGCAACAGCCCTTTTCTTCAGGCTCTGTTTAATTGGTGGGTGGGAGGATACAAAATGAAAGGGGCTGAAATGGGCTTAAGTTTCTTCTTGCTTAAATTAACTAAGTACGTTTCTGAACACTGTAGTTTCGTTTTTTTATTTCTTAAATTTTCCTTTCCAGAAAATGGCTGTTCCACCTGCTTATGCTGACCTGGGAAAATCTGCCAGAGATATTTTCACCAAGGGATATGGTAAATAAAGCCAAAATAAGTTTGGTCTTTTACTGTCTATCTGATTCCTGAAATTGTTAGGATTTTATTACTTTTCCCTGAGAAATACTTCAGTTACTTCCATTAGAATCCACAGAATCACAGCTTCACATTGCCCTAGCTGTTTGGAAAAGGAGGGCAACTTACTTTTCTTTTTATAAAGTTCTTCCTGTTCCCCATAGAACTGTTGTTGTTTGAGAGGAAATTGTGTGCTGTATTTTGGCTGCACCCTTGTATTGATAAATAGGATCACTGATGGCAGTAGTTTGCTTGTGAACAGAATGTTGCTCACTGTGAGTAAAAGTATTATTACTTAATTTCATCCCAATTATATAGCTGAAGTTAATAGGATTCATCAGTCAAGTGCTATCTGAAGTGAGTATGAGCTGCTTCTTAATACACATGATTTGATAACTGTGTCCTTGGTTTAACCATTTAATAGTTCACTGGTGGTTTAGAAAAGAGTTTTAAAAAATAAATCAGAAATTATTTTCAAATCAACATATATGTGATTCATATTTTTTACTTACTCTGTAGGTTTTGGGTTAATAAAGCTTGATTTGAAAACAAGATCTGAAAATGGACTGGTGAGTTTGGAAGCACACTGAAATCCAAAAAAAATGTGGTGGTTTTGTGATTATTATCCATTTATTTTTAAAATAAATATATTTGTATTTATATGAGCTAATATTTAACAGAGTATAATGACTAATATGTTCTACAAGTATAAGCAGTTGCCTGATTGCATATATTAGATATCAACAAGTACATATATTATATGTATAAATTATTTTCTTTTAGGAATTTACAAGTTCCGGTTCAGCAAACTCGGAAACAAGCAAAGTCAGTGGTAGTTTGGAAACAAAATACAAATGGGTGGAATATGGACTGATGTTCACAGAAAAGTGGAACACTGACAACACACTAGGCACTGAGATTACTCTTGAAGATCAGGTAATTTTTGGCTCCAAAAAAGCAATTTGCAAATTCCCCTACACTGCTCTCTAATTAGCAATCCAACCAGTGAATTTCTTTTCTGTTCAGCTTGCACGGGGCCTGAAGCTGACCTTTGACTCCACCTTCTCTCCTAACACTGGGTAAGAAGTGAGTAGGCTAAAATGACAAAAAAGGCATTTTTAATTTTTTTGTCCTGAGATTTCGAGACAGGTAATAATCAGCCTTTATAGGATGAAATCATCTACATCTCACTTAAATCTCAGTATTAATAATCCCTTTTTAATCCTTAACTATAGCAAGCAAACTTAAACACAATAGCTTGAAAATTATACTTTGAATTAGAGAGTGAAGAAAAAGTTGTGGTTTTGCTCCATATTGTATTTCTGGCCATGTCAGAGGATGAGCTGCTGCCTTAATAAAAGCACTAAACATGTCAGCTATAATGCAAAGCTTAACAAGCTCCAGGGGCCAGTTGGCCACAGCTCTGATAGGCTGACACAGAACTGGGCTCTTGTCCCGAGCTGAATTTGTCATCTGAATTCTTTCAGGCCACAGTGTGCCTTGGTGGTGGATGGGTATTTCTGACATGGTGATTGGATGCTATGTTTTATGTGGGCCAGAGGGATTAAGCAGCAGCTGTAGGTCTAAATGTTGGTTTATTTTTTTCCCCTGATTATCTTTGTGCAAGCAGTGCTGTCAGTGAGTCAAAATACTCTGCACATCAGTTTCCCAGAGCAGCACACTGCACTGCAGGCTCTCAGGGCTATAGTCCCAGGGGAGCTTGCACCCTGTGTTTTAGATTTAGTGTTCTGCCTTGTTGACTACTTTCAGTCCACTCCTAATTCTAGATTAACAAGACATTTTTGTTAATCAGAATAATTGCAAGTAGCTTTTGATAATTATTTCTTAACTGCTATGATTCTTAGAGAAATTAAAAAGAAAAACTTGTTCGAGAATGATGTTACAGGTCTAGAACTATTTCTTGGGCACTTCACAGACACAGTGCCTTGAGAGGACTATTAAATATGGCTATATGGGGTGAGATTCAATCCTGGCTTAGTTTGACAGTGATGCACCATGTCTGAATATGAGACTTCTTCTCCCCCTCCTTATTACTTACTGACTGTGATGAATCTTTCAGCAGGTAAAGTAATTTTTTGGAGCACTCTGTGTTCTTACTTCTTTCCCTGTGACATTGGTGGGAGAGGTACCGCTGACTTTTACAGAAGTGGTAGATGAGTGCTTTTGGCACTTCTGCACTTTATTTCTGATTCTGCAAAACACAAGAAATTCCTGTGTCTGACCTAATAATAATAAAAGAGAGAGGAGTCTATGTGTGGGTCTGATACAGCACCGATACTGTTCTTGGAGGTTGTTTTTGTTAGCTGACATGAAAAGTTGATTTGAAATTTCAAATTAGCCTGATTTTTCCAGAAATATTTCAGTAAAGATTTTGTCAAAGACAGAAGACACTTGTGAAAAGAGAAGAAAAAAATCTTAAATAAGAGTAGCTGAATATATTAGACATAACTCTCTTGCCTTGAGAAGGTCTGCACCCTTGAAGTAAATCAACCTTAGGACACATGAGAAAATACTGTTCTGGCCAATAGTATAAAAATAAACAGGTGACTCAGGAAAGTTTATTTCTGCCTTGACCTGGCAGCTTTCTGGTGGTTGTAAATGGCTTCAGCCATTGATGTTCACAAAGTACCATAAGGAGAAATGGGGATATCAAGGCCACTGAAACAGCATGCTTGCTTCACAGCAGAGACTTTCCCTCAGGAAACGGCAAAGTAGTGATTTCCTAATGTCTGTCACAGTAACTAAAATTACCCAATTCACTAGGACTGTCTAAAAATTGTTTGCCTGAAACAGGCAAAAGTTACTTGCTTGGGACAGGCAAGCAAGTCCACTATTGTGGACTTCTGGTGGCAAACCTGTAATCTTCTACAGTTTCCATTCCTTCCCTTTATGTACCAAATTTCCAAAACCATCATATCAGTTGGAGATGAGGATATGGTTTTGTCATTTCCCATCTGTGTGCAGCTGCTTTTCAGAAAACAGTCCAGAAGTGCTTTGTGGGGTACCACACCACATTTTATTGCTCCTTTACAAATTCACTGTAGCTGACTTCAGATTTTGTAAAGGTGAACACTAAGAAGGTGACATACCATGTGGCTCTCCAGGGATGTACACATTGTACTTCAGGAACTATTACACTGACTTAAAGTGATATGATGGAATTGCTTCCTACAATGTATCTTTGCAAAGTTATGATATCTTTCTTTTTTCTTTAGGAAAAAGAGTGCTAAAATTAAGTCGGGGTACAAAAGGGAACACATCAACATTGGCTGCGACATGGATTTTGACATTGCGGGTCCTTCAATACGTGGAGCTCTTGTGCTTGGCTACGAGGGGTGGCTGGCAGGCTACCAAATGACTTTTGAGACAGCAAAGTCTAGAGTAACCCAGAGCAACTTTGCTGTTGGCTATAAGACTGATGAATTCCAGCTTCATACTAATGTGTAAGTACTGTCAGACAGGCACTAAAAAGGAATTTGAAAGGATTTTGCCGCTTACTAAACAGTGAAAGGGTCAAAGGTTCAGCAATGGTGAACAAAGGAATGGTGAATTTGAAATTAATTCTTCATTAAAGATGTCAAGCTGTATTTTTTCAGCTGCATTACCTTTTCTTTGAATTGTGTGGGTGAGGGAGTGCATGATGGAAGGAACTGGAGCTCACTGAGCACCCAAGGGTCCAGTGTCTGTCTAGCAGATAAGGACTATTAGAATCCATTAGTGATACAATAAAAAATGTAAGTTATAAAAATACTCTTTGTCAAAGCTGAAATAAAAGCAATGCTTTCCTTTTACACCTGTCAGCATCAAACAAAATGGTGGTTTGATGTGTAGATGAAAAAGTTAATCAGAGGATGAACAAGCAGGAAAAAAGGGAGTGACTGGAAGAGGCAGGAACTGGGTTTGTTTTACTACTGGAAGGGATATGGTGTAAAAGTTTATTTGGTATTGCAACTTCTAATTTTTACACAAATATTTGTCCGTTCTGAATGTATCAACAATGGGAAGCCAGGATCAAATTCCATGAAAACCTTAATTTCTCTGTCTCCTGTTCCTCCTAAAAAGGCAATTTATACCATTGGGGAAGTCAGTTTTTTGAGATTAGGCAATCCCTAATCCGTTCTCCTGGCCCGCCCTTTCTGTGCCCTTGGGTAATTGGATATTTTGCATGTAGCAGAGCTATTCCAGGCTGTTTTCATCTGGGGGCTGAACAACCATTCTGCCTTCCTGTAGCTACATCTTCAAAGACCTTCTGTTCTGTTTCATGCTGTTTTGCAGTGATCTGGTTTAGGAAACTTCTGCTGCCTCACAGAACAATCAAACCCCCACAGCCCAGACAGTGTGTTTGAAGGATTGCCAAAGCTCAAAAATGTGGGCAGAAAACTTCCATCAAAATAATATGTGAGGTCCCCTTCCACTCAGGAGTTAGAAGTTACTCCTTCAAGTGCAATGACTTTCAACTTAGTTGTGCTGTAGCAGTTCTAAACATTGTATTGGTTTTTGCTATAAAATGCTGTGGTTATTATTACTCTTAATTAAAGCAACAGCAGAAACTCATAACAGCAGCGGGGGCTCAGATCTCCTTCTGCTATTCCTGAGGGTCTGTTTCTCAGGTTGCTGTTACTGTACAAAACCACAGATGTATGGTAAGAATAGAAATCTTACTTATTGTTAATAATAGATTATTTAGGTGATTGATGTATTTCATCTTTGAAAAGGTGTCAAAGCTTTTATATAATCCCAGAAAGAGTTGTGTGTGGAACTCCCCTCACTAGGCTGCTTGGTTTTTACATCTACACAGGTCTATTTCACTGGGATGTTGTGGCAGAGCAGATAATGTAACTAGGTGGGGCTTGAAGCGTGTTTTTTTTTGTTCCTGGCATTACACAAACCAGCTGGCGACTCTGACAAGTTACTTGCCTTAAAGGTGCCTTAATATATTGATTTTCATAGGGGGTTAGTGTTTTGGGTTTTTTTAATCTACATAAAAGGCGCTGTTATCTGCATTAAAAAGTTCTATTATTACTATTAGAGTTTAAAAGAGACTTTATTATTATTATTATTCTTTACTAATAAAAACAAGGGAGGTAGGGCTGGATAATTTCTAGTTTTAAATATGACTTTCCTCATTTTTTAAGCATAGCTCAGACCGCCCCCCCCTAATGTTGCAGGTCAAGACAGAGCTGTGTGGGAACCTTGCACAAAATCTGCCTGTATAACCAGCTCTCCTCAGTCCTTTTTAATCCCTCCTTTTCTTGAGAGCCAAGCACATGCAGTTAATGTGAGCTTCAGTCTTATCTGAAGTAAGTATTGTAGTGTTTTTCTGGAAGAATTGCTCTAACAATTTAAAAGGCTGTTGCTATTGCTTGAACTTTTAAATAGGCCTATCACCGCTGTTTGTGCAACTGTTACAAACTGAAGAATATCAGACCAAAGGGGTAAAAGGGAAAAGATCCTAAATCTACCCCTTTTTGTAATCACTAAAGGTCTGGTGTACTCTAATAATTGGAACCAGATGATTTCACAGTTTAGAAATAACCCCAGATCTTCCTGGGGTTTAAAGACTGTTTTATACAATATGTTTGTATTTAAGAAAATAAGCAAAAATGGAAATTCAGATGCTCACTGGTTTATAAGGAGTGCAAGGCCTTTAGGAGTCTTTTGGTCTTGTTTTTATGATCTGCATGCTCTAACGTTTTGTGTTTTATTTACCAAACTTTATTCCTGTGTGACATTGGGAGCAATAGTAATTGGAAGTTATGCTACTCATCTTTCAGCTGTGGGCCAGTGCTCTCTGCAAAGCCAAATGAGTTCAATTTCTGTTTCTAGTCCATAGACCATAGCACAGATGTACCATAAGGACTGTTGCAAATGGAATTCATTTGCAAAAGCCCATAGACTTGCACAGTAAATTGGCATCTTCACCTGTGATACAGTTCCTAAAGCCTGCTGACATGGCAGTTTTGGGGTGATTCGGGCTCTGTGACCGGGGTACAGCCCTCTCAGGGCAAAAGGAGACATTTGCCAGGGAAAAGAATTATTTCAGAGACATGCAGGGAAAAATAAATCTCTACTACAGAGATTCCCATCTACAGGAGAGGGGAAAATTGGAAGCTGTGATTGTTGGTCTAATTTTTGATAGTTTGTCATGGGTTTTTCTTGGTTCAGAACTTATTGAAATATAATAATATGCAATGAATTGAAGCATCTAAAAATACCTTCATAACCAATCTGGCCTAATGTCTCTATCTTAGTTGCTACAGGGATAGTTAATGAGGTGTAAGTAGATGTTGTGCAAATACAGCACTTACTGGAAAAATAAAAGATGATTGTTTTGGGTTGCTTTTTAAAAGTCCACTAATGCATTCCTTCCAGGAATGATGGAACAGAATTCGGTGGCTCCATTTACCAGAAGGTGAATGATAAACTGGAAACTGCTGTGAATCTTGCTTGGACAGCTGGAAATAGCAACACTCGCTTTGGAATAGCAGCCAAGTATCAGATTGACTCAGATGCCTCTTTTTCTGTGAGTCCTGTGCATGTACATTTATATGCATTTGAAAATAAGTGCTTGTAATGGAAATGGAAGGTAGCCTTTCCATCAGCAGAGCACGGTCTGCGCTGTGTCGTTGGCACATGGATCTGTTTGTTTTGGTTTTGGCAGCCTGAGAGCACAGCTATTGGATTTTCCTTAAAAGAGACACAGAATGTTTTATTGTATTACTAGGCACTATTTTGAGACTGTTTTTGTGTCAGTCTGGAAAAAATTCAAAATTATGTTAATAAACCCATTATTTTCTACAGTGACTGTAGATTCTTTGAGATTTTGGATTTAAGTTACAGAAAAATTAACTCTAGATTTATTTTGATTTTAAAACTTGAAATCTTTAAATGCTTAAAGGGTGTTGCACAATTCTAAGGCACAGAGGGCTTTGAAGAAAGATACTAAATTATTTACTAAATTTATTTTTTATTATTAAAGAATGCTTTATTGTTTCCCTTTAAGGCTAAAGTGAACAACTCCAGTCTGATTGGGTTAGGATACACTCAGACTTTAAAGCCAGGTAAGTTTATGCAGAAAAAGGTCAGAATCAATAAAGTGATACTTTAATCTTAAAATATCAGAAGTTTTTTGGTTATAAAGGATGATGGATTTTGGTAAGCTTGTTCTTGCTTGGCAAGCCAGTGATGAACTTTTCTAGGGACTGTTCTATTAATTTTGGCTATCTGTTGGAAGCAGAATTATTAGAGACCATTGTCCACTGACCAGTCAAATAGTCTTTCATGTTGATATAAAATATGTCTATAATTATTTGTGTCACAGATAAGTAACTAGATTTTTAATATTTCAGTGGGTCTTATTACTGAGTTTATTCTTCTTAAAAATGTGACTTTCTTAAGGTCCCCTGGTCCAGGAGGAGGACAATCTTACTGCTGCAAAATTGGTTTTAATGTAGTGTAATAAATCTGCTGCCAGAATACTGAGCAGATTGAGACATGAGATATTTACAGCAGATGGGGCTTTGGCTTTTTCATACCCAGATTTTAAACTGGTTTAGAAAGGTGAGTATGTGTCAAGGTCCCAGGTTTTTATAATTCTGAACTCTAAAATTAGATTAATCAGTAGACCATCAGCAGCAAATTGGCTCAGAGGTTTTTAATTAGTTGGGAGTGATAAAAAGCAGAATCTATCATCATGGTTTATTATAAAGTTCATAATTCAGAAAGATTTCTTTTCTGCAAATTGTTTTAAGATGCCCAGTCCTTCCAAGGCCAGCTGCCAAATCCCCTTAACTTGGCTACCAAATAAATTAAAGCAGTAACAGACATGGCACTTAGTGAACATAAAGCTCATTCCAAGTTTTAAGTTAACTTTTCTCTCCCTTTTCTCTATTTTGCAGGTATCAAACTGACGTTGTCAGCTTTGCTGGATGGCAAGAATGTCAATGCAGGAGGTCACAAACTTGGTCTAGGATTGGAATTTGAAGCATAAGGAGTGATTTCACAATTGCTAATCTGAAAATACAGCATAGCTACCTTCAGAAAATAGTGTACCTTTCAGTGTTTTGTCTGGGGTGCAAGTGTTGCTACGTATCTGTCCTGCTAGTCCTGGTTAAAGACAGCTAAGCTTTAAAAATGATGTTAAAGAAGTGGAGACAAAATCACAAATGAAAAATCCTAGCTTTTTTTCCTTTATGTAATTGCTCATTACATCTGTCAACTGCCATGTGATAAGAAGAAGGAAGGTGTTGATTACCTCTACTAATATATTGATGGCACAAAGGAATGTGTTAATGTATTATAAAACATGGGAATTGCAGACCACTGTGTTGTACTGTTCATTGTGTAAGCAAAATGTTCAGTCATCGAAGGTTTCAGTCAATGAGGGAATGTGCACACTTGTCTGAAAAAGGGATTTTAAAATTAATTATTTTAGATATGTGTTTCATCAATGATTTGTCTTACTTGGTTATCCCACACCTACTGCTGTCTCCAGAATGCTTTAGGTTGTTCACCTTGTCCAAGTTTTTGTGGAGGAGATTTGATGTGAATCAGCGAATACTGCCTGTCCTGTGTTGTGATTCCTCCCCCTTGCACTGATGGAAAATCTTGTAAAATGGACATAATCAGGGAAGAGTCTTTGCAACTGCAATCACATAGTTGCATCACTAATTCTAAAATGGAGTTTTCTTTTATTACCACTTTTTTTTTAGCGACTAAGTGGGTACATTTTTAGAGAGTCTTCCATTTTGTGTGGAACTAGACCTCAAAATGCTGTACTTGACACTACTAAAAATGGATAAAAACTCTAAACCTGACTTGAATAAAATACTGAAATGGCATCTTTTACTCTGTCTTTGTATTAATTGTGAAAACAATTTCATCCACATTTGTGGCTCCAGCAGAAGACTGGCAACACAAACCAAAAGTACTTAGCAGAATTAAATTCTAGGTGTGGCACTGTTCTTAGTGCTGTCTAAGCTCTGACAACTGCACATTACATGTGTTTATCCCATGGATAAAAGAAGATAACATTACTCATCTTTTATTAAAGAATTCAGTGAGTGAATTACCTCTCTATAAGCAAGTAAGTGTGGGCAACGAACAGATATGAGCTCGGATCATGTTCAGTGGCTGTTCATTAGCTTTTTTGTATTTTGTATTGTATAAATCTGTATTTTTTCACGTTTTAGGCCATTGTGGTGGGTGGCTGCAGATGGCAAGGGCTGCGGGGCAGGAGGATGTGCCCGATGAGGCAAGGCCATTGCAGAGCACGAATTGGGCAATGCTGACTTCCCTCTTATCGAGAGCCAGTCCCGAATATTTCCTATCTCAGACACTTAACCCAGCACTCCTGGGACAAATGGACCCCTTCCAGACATCACCGATCCCAAAGAACCAGGTGCAGGCAGCTCCCAGAAGCATGGCAGATGCAAGTAATGAGAGGATCACAACTGGCGTAAAGCTGAGATTGGAGGATTCAGATGAGATTTTAGGAAAAACCTTTTTACTGTCCGGGTGGTCAGCACTGCCCCGCGGCCCAGGGCGGTGGTGCACTCACCATCCCTGGAGGGATGTAAGAGGCGCCCGGATCTGGCGCTGGGTGAGGCGGTTTAGGGGTTCCAGTGGCGGTGCTGGTGCAGGGCTGGACTGGACGCTCTAAAAGGTCCCTCAGCCCTGATGATTCCATGACTGTATCACGAGTCAGTGACCCACGATTCCATGACGACCGTTCCACAGTTCCCCCGTTCTGTGACACCGCCGCGCCGCCCTCAGCCCCTGCGCGCGCCCCGC